GGTATTCTACCAAAACATGGTGCACCTGAAAAACAAAACTTACCCGTTTCTTTAGCTGTCAGCTCTTTGCCACTGTGGTGGCCAAAATAAATCCGCAAATTTCCCAGCTATGAAGTATTTATTTTTATTTCTTTAATCCTATTGTTTAGGTGAAAACACTTCTCACTATAGTGAAAATTAAAAATACTGGTTAGTATCTTACACATAAGTATCTTTCAACACTGTATTTTTAGCTACAGGTAGCAAATTTTAAATAGCTGCTGAGGGCACTACTGTAGTTGAGATAACTTCATCAATTAAAATGCAGAATGTTATTCTGGACAGTTTTAAACTAAGGCATTAGTTCAAAACAAACGGAAGGTAAAAAAACACAAATATGTTTGAAATAATGGTCTCTCAATATTCCTAATTTCCAGATATGATAACACTGTAATTTTTTAAACTTTAATGTGCATTAGCTGGACTCCCACTGGCCGGTATTATATTTAGCAATGGTCCCACAGATTTAGCAGTGCCCCACAGATCTGGGCAGCATTTACAGTAATACACACTCACTGCTATTCCCACTTTGCAATGTGGGGCATGGGCTGGCTACTAAAATGGGACAGGCCAGAAGCCACTTGAAATTCCTCCCTAAGTGAGCACAGAGCTACACGGCTAAGGTAATAATTTTGTGACTGCAGAAATGGAAAAGTGTCATATCCTAGTACACTAACTGAAGCCATGGGGCTAGAAAAACTGGGACAACACTGCACGGTGTGTTCAAGAAATTAGTTGGCTTCTTTTATTGACCTAGGAAGAGCATCAATTACTGATAATCTACCTGTAAAATGCACTAAAATAATGCAAGTGTTTATAAATTATAAGATACAGCAATGTTATGAGCTTAGAGGCAAAACATACCTTCAAAATACAGGATTCAAATATGTTCTGTAAATAGTGTTGCCCCCCTTTAAATTTTAAGTGCTGTTATGAAGAAGATAAAGTGGATACATTTTATGTTTACAATGCAGTACCTCAATTTAGTTTTCTCTCTGTAACTGCTAGCATTTTTTTCTTTTCTATGCCTTGACAGATTGCTTTTCTTTTTCTCATAACCATTTTCTGCCTTTCTCAACAATGCTGTAATAAAACTGCCATACCTGAGACTTCATTTTCATCTCCTATTGGACAGAGAGAAATGAAACCCATCTAAACTTTGTTTTTAATGCACAGAGTTTTCTCAAGAGCACAGCAGAAGCACCACCCTCTCTAGACAGACACACCTTTTCTTCTTGCTAGAAGACTATCTTTTCTAGAAAAATGTCTGCCTAGGACTTAAAGAAACTGCATGTACAGCCACTGCAAACCGATGGAATTTATCTACTCAAAAGTGCAATCTCATAGGCAATAATTCTATGATAATCTTGAATACAGCTGTCATACACTCTACTATATACTGATTTACATCTTTTCCGTGCTTAAGTCTCTGGCAGGTAGATAAGGTGAAGCCTAATACAGAGGTACCCCTGCCCTCCCTAACTACTGAGAGTAACACAAAATACTTAGTATTTTATCAAGCAGAATTTAGTCCTCTCCATCCTATCCATGTAAAAGTATCCTGTAACAGCGCCTCAAGGCATATGAAATACACACCTTATCTGACAGGTACAAGATTTAGGTCAAAATTGGAAAAAAACTTCTGCTTCATTTAGTATTGTCTTTTCTCCCCAGCTTAATAACTGCATAATTAATACACAAGCAGAGGAACAACGAGAATGTAGCTCTTCCTACTCTTGTGTAAGTGGATGAATCACAAAGGTATCTCTTCTGGCTCCTTTATTCCAGACTGAGGAAGAGCCAGTTCTACCAGGAGTTGATACTGTGGGCTACTACACCCTTCTTCACAGTTGTTGTATAGCTCAAAGTAGCTTTTAAAGTATATGAGATACAAATCTGAATCCTCCCAGACAAAGGTGTGCTTAAAACCTTCATCAGTTCTTCAACAATCACATAACAACCCCACTGGACAAACATAGGCATTATCTCTTCCAGGATTATACACAATACTTGGACATATACCTTTTGAACACTACATCATCTGCTTACTACTTTGAATGATACACTACTATAGCTTCTGCTTGAAAAGTTACCTGACAGTTTGCTTTAATGTCAAGGGAAATATGTTTTTGTTGTCAAACACAGCATAGAATTTTAATGTAATTGGTCCGTGAGATTTTCGGTTTGGCTCTAGACCTTACTCTGTCAAGGCATTCATCATTTTGCAGAGATAAATGTATTTCAGATGTTCATCTGTTTTTGATGTTTGATTACAGTAGCTATACTCTTGTACACCATGAATGATTCTATACTGAATCACATACGCAATATTTTTTTTTTCAAGTGACTGTAATAGGTGAGTGAAGAATTACTTCTTTCCCTGAAGAAGAGTAGTACAGCATATTGGTACCTTCCTGTTTCAGACAGAACCACAGAAGGCTGATGACATCCAACAGCCTATGCCTATGATTTGGTCAATAGAGACACTGGAAATAATAGCTAACACTTTTGAAAGAGCATGCTTCCCAGTAGTCAGTAGCCTTTGCCTCTATTTCCAAAGGTGTTATCAGCTATGAACATTATAGCAGTAATTGAATTTGCTTTTTATGATCATTGCAGGCCTTTACTGTAATACACAGAGGCTGCTGCTGGCATTATCATAATTCTTCTAACTTTGAGATTAGATTAATGCAATAAAACTTCACCTTAAAAGAGAAACTTGGAGAGTACTACAGGTTACATGATACAAGAAGGGCTACCTAGATGAAAACACAGCTGAAGATAGGAATTTCTGCTTGTTGTCCAGATAGAAGTCAAGACATCGGGTAGTTACCGAAAGAACCTTACAAGACCTCAAGACCTGGTTATCTTGAAATAGATAAGCAACCTCTACCTCCCTGCCCCTCTACCTCCCTGCCCCCTCCCCTTCCCCGATACCAACACCACACAACCTCTCCCCCATATCCACAGAACCTGTTTACCCAGGCCTGTACCATGTCCTCCCCCTGCCTTTCTTCCCCTTGGGAAAGCTGTAAAATTAAGAGAGTGCAAAAGTATTTCTACTGTCTTAATAGATCAGGCTGTAGTCATGCCAGTCTTGATGGGAGCTATGGTTTCTCACAGCTCTTTAACCTGAATTAATTCAACTTTATTCTCCCAGGAATTGTTAAAATGCCCTTTTTTGCAATGTGGGAGTGTGGGAAGGTAAAGGGAGAGAGAACATAAGGTATGCTGAGAGGGGCTTTCAGGTAGCATTTTTTAATGGTTTTTGCTGTGTACTTGCTAAAGAAAGATACCATGTTGATTTGCCTATTTGAAACTAATGATGAGCTTTTCGCGTTTTATTAAAACATTCCACTTTTCCAAGGAAAAAGTGCTTTTTTCTAAAGCTGAGAAAAAAAGGTTCCACTTTTTTCTAAAGACTTAAATTCAGAGTTTTGAAGTATCTATAGAAAAAATCAAGGATGAGAACTTTTCCTGTCATTTATGCCTAGTTATACGGGCAGCTTCATCACAAAGCTTTGCCTCCATTTCTGTATTGCTCCGACTGAGAAAATAATTCAGATTAACAACTGAGCAAACTAGAGCCTGAATTTTGCATTGCACTGGCATGAGTGATTCCACAAGTGTTGGTGTGGACCATCTCAGCTGTCACTAAGCACAAAATACCTTAGGACAAACTATATTGTTCCTATTAGCAGATTACTAGTGTTACTACACAACTTGTGCTGGTATTTCTTACCTTGTATTATCTACTTATATTCAAGCACTAGAAACTCTTTATGTGCAGGAAGCAATAATGAAGTGGTATGGGAACAGCTGCACCAAATCTGCTAAAAAGTCTCCATATGCTGTTTTTACTGTGAGAATCATCAGTCCAGAACAATTATTCTAACATCATCTACGTCCATCTAATTTTAAAAGGAAAGCTTGCTCTTCTGCAAATGCCCTTAAAAAATTGGAAGGATTTGACAGCATGCTTTCTCAGGGTTAAAAAGAGCCTTCACTTACCAGTTAAAAATTACCAAGCAAAGGAAATGCATCCTTGTCCAGACTGGTCTACAAGAAGCAAAATGATGGCAATTTAATTAAGCATGTAAAGTCGTATTTAAACTTGTCACAATCTTAAAACAAGGTGGAATAAAGTAAATGCAATCATGTTACTAAATAGAAATTGCATTGTTTTGTCATCTATAAGCATACTACAGTGTGCTGTGGGCATGCTATTGATGAACTAAGAATCTATATTTAAAATAATGGTTTCTAACACTGCTATTCTCTGATAACAAGGATAGTATTTTCTTACTAAATATACAATTTTTTAAGGATGGAAGCAGTAAGACCGACTTACCTTACATAAGCTGTTAATTTCTACTACTGTAAACAAATCCCTGAAATGACATAACTCCAATGTCCAAATAGAATTCTAGCTACCTTTTTAGAGGGGGAATATACAATGAACACTGGACATAATGCAATAATTCAAGACATTCTTACTATGCATTCTCTAAATTTTTGTCAAAGCACATCTTTCAGGAAAAGCAGAGTTAACACTACCTGACAATACCCAATGACATTGTACACCTGTCAAGATGACGTGTCTCTGTTTTCTTTTAGTTTAGGAAGCATTGTTCATTGCCATTAACCTAACATTGAACGTATCTTCAAATACCGTGAAGTATGTATTGAAATGCATTTGAATTTTTTACGGATTTCAAGCAATAGCTAGACTTTATACTTAGTCCTATGAAATATGACTGTTTTCAGCGAGCTACGTGAAGAATGCAGCGATTTTCATCCAGCTTTGTTAACAAAAGCTCTGCCAAGCTACGCGAACTGCCTCCAAGCTTCCTGACAGCCTCCGAAGTGCTAAATACCAAGAGCACCGAGTAGCTGCGCGGGGAAGGAGGAATACGTACAAGCAACCGCGTCGCGCTGCTTTGCCTCTGCGGCTACAGCGGATGGAGCACGTGAATTTTGGTTCTGGCTGCCGGACACCGCTGCTCCCGTCACGTCTCCCATCCAAACCCGTCAAACAAGCCACGGCTGATGCCAAAACGCGACGCTGCCCTACAAGCAACAAGGGCGGAGCGCAGCCCTGCCGGAGAGGCTCGGGCGGAGAGGAGCTCAGCGGGCCAGGATCCGGCCCGGGCTGCCGGCCGGGGCAGGCGCTGCGCACTCGGGGCAAAGGGTCGGCCCTGCCCGCCCGGGGCAGCGCCAGCGCGGACGGACCCCGACCCTCTCCGCGCCTCGCCCGCCGACACCCGACGCTCCCGGGACCCCGCAGCCGCAGACGGCGGCTCCCGGCAGCCCCGCTTCTCCCTCCTCGCCCCCCCGCGGAGCCGGTCGGCAGCTTGCTGCCGGGGCACTCTGGCGGCTCCTCCGGGGCTCCGCGCTCCCCGCCCGGCCCCGAGACCGAGCGGGAACCACCCCACGCGCCGTCCGCACCGCCCACCGCCCGCGCGCGCAAGCGCGGCCGCGGCCCCCGCGCACACACCTGCCCCCCCTCCCCGCCCCGCCGCCACGCGACACAGGGGCCGCGCGGAACGGCGAGAGGGCGCGCGCCCCGGCGCGGCTCTCCCCGCCCCCGGGGGGAGAGCGCACGTGACGCGTCCCCGCCCCGGAGGTGCCGCGACGCGACTTTGTTTGGGAGAGTTCCGCGCGAGAGCGTGTTTCCGCGCGGCGGGGCCGGGCGGGAGCCGCACGGGAAGCCGGCTATCCCCCCGCCGCCGCCGCCCCGGGCCCCCGGAGCGGAAGGGAGGGAAAGAGGGAGGGAGGGACAGCTGCGGCTCCGCCAAGCGGCGCTACCGCCGCCGCCGGGCAGCGGCTGCCCCGCCTCTGGTCCCGCCCCCGGCGTGTCCCACCCCCGCGGGCCCTGCCCCTTTCCCTCCTGCCGCCGCCGCCGCTGCTGCCAGCGCAGCCTGAACTGAAGCGAACTCCGGAGCGAACTGAGGAGAAGTGAGGAGGCGGCGGCGGGGCTGAGACTCAGCAGCCACAGGCGGCGGCAGCAGCAGCAGCAGCGGCGGCGGGAGGGCGGGCGGGAGAGAGAGGAGGAGGAAGACACACACCAGGCGCAGCGCGGCGGCAACAACAGCAGCAGCGGCGGCAACAGCGGGGAGACACCGGCGGCGGCTCCTCGGAAGCGGCAGCCGCGGCAGCAGCGCCCGCCCGCCCCGCGCGTCCCCTCCCTCCCCCGCCGCGGAGACAGGGGGCAGCGCCGAGGGGAGTACCGGGCTCGGCGTGTGTGTGCGTGGGAGGAGGAGGGGGGACACACCGAGGACTGCGCCGGCCGAGGGCGCACGGAGCAGGGAAGCGGCGGCGGCGGCACCGAGAGGCGGCGGCGGCGGGTCCTTGTGCCCGGAGAGGAGGGCGCAGCCCGCACGGGGGTTTCTACCGAGTTTCCTCTTTTTTTTTTTTTTTTTTTTTTCTTCTCGGTCCCTGGGACTCAGCGTTGTCTGCGTTGTCTCCGGATTTGAATCCTCCTTCTTCTCCTCCTTCCTCGGGGAAGCTCCCCTCCCCGCCCCCTCCCCTCCCCCACCGCCTCCCTGCCCGCCCGGATCCAGCCGGGCGCCCCGTGCCGCGGTCGCGTTGCTCGGCAGAGCTGCTGCGGGCGCTCGCCGTCTCTGCGCGGGCTTGGAATATGGTTGGGGAAATGGAAACCAAGGAGAAGCCGAAGCCGAGCCCCGATTACCTGATGCAGCTGATGAACGACAAGAAGCTGATGAGCAGCCTCCCCAACTTCTGCGGGATCTTCAACCACCTCGAGAGGCTGCTGGACGAAGGTAAAAGCGCTCGCCTGGCCGCCCCCTTCCCCCCCCCGCTGCCCGGGGATCCCGCCCGGGCCCCCGGCCCGGCCCGGCCGGGCGGCGGTGACGGGCCGGGGCCTGTTCCGCTCTCCCCGCTGCTCCCCGCACGCTCCCGGCCCCGGCTGGGGAGCCGAAAACAAAGGGGAAGTGCGGGCTCTCCCCGCCCTGGCCGCCGCCGCGCGGTGCCGGGGGACTCGGGGAGCGAGTGGGAGGGGAGAGGCAGCCCCGATCCCCCAGGAGTGCTTTCCCCCTTATTTTTCCTTTTTTTCCTTTTTACTCTGTTTCGCACTATCCCCTTAAACCGGGGGAAGGGTAACTACGGCGCGGAGGGGAGGGAGCGAGGAGAGGAGCTCAGGAATGCGCTCTGGGGGAAGGCAGGGAGGAGGGGAAAGGCTGGCTGGCGGCTGGCGCTCCCCTCCCTGCATCCCTCCCTCCCGCGGCGGCGGGGGACACTGGGGTCCTGCCGGCGCCCTCGGGGCGCTCCGCCGCCCGGCCCCGGGGCCCCCGCCGGGGGGGCGGCGGGTGTTTGGTTTCGAGATTTGGCTGTTCTGGAAGCTGCTTGGACTTGAATGACTAAGGCGGAGGGGGGGCTGAGCTCTTTCTTCGGCTCCAGATCTACCCCACCCCGAACTGGCCGCAAACTAATTACCATTTTCCTATATCGCAAGGGAAGCGAGTAAATTCTCTCGGCTATCCTTACCTTTTAAAGAAACTGAACTTGACAGACGCCTTCCTACGTGTGACTTTAGTGAAGAGGGAGAAACAAAAAGGATTACGAAATTGCCTGGTCTGCTCCTGCCAAACGTCCACCCCAGCCTCGCACCCGCTCCTGGCACGGGGCGAGGCCCCCCCCATACCCCCAATTTTTTCCCTAATAACTTTGTTTGGGGTTAAGATTTCACAAATAAATAATCACGCTTTAGAAATTAATAAGAAAAGTACGAGCTGGGAACTTCCTGTGTCCCACACGTTTTCCCACTACAGTAACAGACCCACTGTGTATCAAAAATTAGGTGAAACACTTGTTCTTAGTATTTTAAATTCGCCTTGTACTCGGGTTCACGGGTTTGTTTTTTTTTGTCGAAGCATTTCGTTCCTATGACTTTAAATCTAGGCTTTCTGGTGACTTAGACCTGTGTATAATAACTATTTAGTGCATCACAACAGACCTGTTTGTTTAATCGTATTTGATAGCTTTGTAGAATATCATATGGCCATAAATAATTTATACAGTTTCAACTTGTAGGGATTCTTAGTGTGAAGTACTGATTTTCGAGATTTTGAGTTAGGGTTCTTGTTTGCGGATGTATTCCTTTTCGCTAAAAGAAGTTTGGGAAGTTGTTGACCTCTGAAGATGAAAGAACTGGTTATATTTGGTAGAACAACTCCCCGCCCTCTGCCAAGACTGTAAAAATGAAATAGCGACTGTAATGCGACACAAAAAAAGCGTGTCGAGAAAATGCTACCTTCTGAAATAAGTGGTAGAGGAATGTAAAGGAACCCAAAAAAACGATGAAGAACACTCAAATACGGATTGTGGGAAGCATTATAATGGGAGAGTCTATTTTTATTTTCAAGATACTTGGAGGAGTTTGATTTTATATTGGAGCAAATGTGGATGTGAAGAGCAAAACTATTGTAGAACTTACACTCTTGGTCACCACAGTGAACAACCTCTTCAGAATAGTTAGATTGACAATAAACATCAAGAAGAAACTTGACCGAGAAGACTCCTTTATAGCACAAATGAGCCTTCCAGAGGTTTGATAACTGATTTTTAAATTGTGAATCTTTTCAACTTCATGTATTTGGCCAGAGGAGGCCTGGAGCTGTTTTTTTTTTTATTTTCAGAGAACAAAAGGAAGAAAACCATTTCCCGACACAAAAAAGACACTGAAAAAGGAATTCTCGAAATACTTATATCTCGTTATATATTTTGAAATACAGAAAACTCTGGAAGTCTGTTTGCAAAGTATTGGAGTTCCAAAATGGGAGCTTTTGTGACTCTTGCTGACAAAGTTTAAGGACTGTGTTGGAACTGTTCTCCACTCTCTTCTTCTAAAGAAAAGCAAATAAAATATAATCTGTGATTCTCTGGAAGAAGCCTGCTATCCCTTTAAGCTTTTCTGCTTTTCCTGTTTATGTTGGCAAATGGGTGGAAGTATTGTGGAGGCAGAAAACTTTTTGGAATGTTGAAAAAAAAAGTTTCATGCAAATCTAGTAAATTGCTTCAAGACTTCAGAATTTGAACACTAAGGGGCGCCAGTTATTTTTTTTTCTGAGGCGTGAGTCCGGGAGCGCCACTATTGACTCGGGCAGTAAAATTATCAAATCTGGTAGAAGACGCAAAGAATGACAAAATACTTGTGGATTTGTGCAGGTATCTGTATTTGCATGGACCTTCACGTATTGTATGCTTACAGGCAGTATTACATAGGTGGAATAGGCAGTAGCAGTGAACAGTTGAGAAGTTGGAATAAGTGTTTCCCTGTAGAACACCTATCCTGGCTACCAGTGTGGGCTGTGTTAAATATCTTGAACTACATGCTCCACTGACATCCTCCAGCAGAAGGGTTTAGTAATAGTGAGCTACAGGTTTGCTGGAAAAGTCTGCAGGATTTCATGTGCTTACTGAAAAGTGTATCATTTCAAGGTTTCATCAGTTGTTTCCTGGCACCCTTGAGAATACGAAGTATTTGGGGCAAGTGCATGTATATATAGGTATATATAATCTAAAAATAAAGTTACAGCGTTCACATTCCCTCTTTGCCCCCTCCACCCTGTCATTTGATTTGCTTCTAGTTTGTTGTTTGCTTTAGGTAGGTGGTTTTTTTTTTTTTAAGTTGTAATACAACCATTTTCCTGAAGGTTTTGTTTATGCTTGAGAAGAATAATATTATGATCAGCCATTGTCTTTTATTTTGTGTGCTGATCAAAACGAAGAAATAAAGTCACAAGCCTAAGAATTCAAACAAATAAAAGTTAGGATTACCTTCCCTAATGGAATGCTAGGGTAGTTTTTTTATTATTACTTATTTATTGTTCCATGTTACTTATTTACATGTTACATGTTTTATATTTAAAAACAGAACTCAAATGGGCTTTTGCTGTTGTTACTTCTTGTAATTGTATGCAGCAAGAGATAGAAAGAGACCTGTGGTTTTAGGTGAATAGTACATCCAATCTGGTTAAGTTACAGATTTTTTGGGTCCATTTCTATGCTGCATGTATTATCCAAAGCTTGTTTTCCTTTCTGAACTCTATCCGACTTTCTGATCTCAGAAAATTTTAGTGCTTGATAGATGATCTCTGTCTTGCAGCATTTTATTTCTGAAGACTACCTTAAATATAAGAAGTGTATTGAGGAAACTTGTTTAGGTTACATTTATTTTTCCATATGTGTGCTTTTAACTTGTTACGTGTAAATAAGCCTTCTGTGGATTAACAAGGATGTTTAAAGAGCACATCATAATAACTAGGAAGCTGAATTGTTTTTATCAGACTGGTGCAAACCTGTGGGAAGAGAGGGCTTTTCCTGAATGTGGAATAGGCTGTATTTCCTGTAATTGTTTGCATCATCAAATGTGACCTGTTTTTTTTTTTGTAATTTTTTTTTGCTTAAGCTTTTGAGATACTAACTTTTATGGTGTTAACCTGGATTTTCTTTTCTGACAACTTACATATTTTAATGCTCCCTTTTGTGAACAGTGAAAAGAGCAGTACCTGTTTTCTTGCACTGTTTTTAAAAACTGAATTGGACATTTCAAATACTTCATAGCACATTGACACATTGAAATTAATGAGGTACTTCAGTTGTATTCTTTCATCAGACTATGAACAAATGTGCCTGAACTATTAGCTGAGATCTGAGTAGTCTAATTATTAAATTTACATTTTGTTTTCTTGAACCTGTAAGTGCACAGACTCTTGTACCTGATCAGAATGTACACAGATCAGACCTGTGGTCTGAACTGTTTTCAAAAAGAGATTGAAGAAGACTTTATCAGGAATTAATTTTTCCTCGGTAACCTATCCCGGAAAAGCTTAGTCTTTCCTTCAAAACTGTGTTGAAGGTGACTTAAAAGCGTGTCTACCTTTAAATGTAAATTTAACAATGCAGCTGGCTATTGGAGATAAATCTAATTTTGTGTCAAATAGGCTGCGTCTTTCTGTCTACCAAGTTTAACAAAGCTAGCGTAAAAACATCCAGATAGGCAATATGAGGATACATTTTTGGTGAATGTTGCTCTCTCTGTTTAGTTTTCTCATTGAGAAAAGTGCACATGAAGTTGGAGCTTAGTGCCCAAGAGTGCAGCTTTTGCATCGGTCTGGTTGTATTAAGCAAAACGTGTGCATGAAGTAGGGCTGAAGAACTATGTTCTGGTGTTGTAAATGAGTTCTCCCTCTGAAGTTATGTAGTTACTTTTGTACATAACCGTATTATTTGTGATTATGTAAATGTAGTCTGTGCTTAGCTAGGGCTTTGCTGATTTTTCAGATTTGATGGAGGGGCACTAGCCACATTAGCGTGTCAGTTTTTTCACTTGTATCAGATCTTGCAATGGACCCCCATTAATTCATTTAAAAATATGCTTCTTAATGCAATATTCAGGGATGAGTATTCTTTGGGATAAAGGCCTTATGAAAGGTGTTTGCCCAGAGAGTCTCAGACTAATTTTTAAACTTGGTATATTAATGTTAAAATTGTCAAAGTAGCGTGCCACAAGAGTGTTGAGTATTGTTTGTGTGCTGTTTATCATTAGTACTTTGAGTTTGGTTCTTCAATTTTTTCTTAAAACTTAATGGTCTGAGGTGTTTTTCTGATTTATGACTGTTGTAATGCTTCTAGAACTTGTATTCAGAAACCTTGTAAGAGCTATTTTGAGGTGTGGGTGTTTGGTTATTTTTTGGCAGGGGGAAGGAGTGGCTTTAATACCTTGGCACAGCCTCTCATAACACCAAACCAAAAGCTCCATTGCACTTAAGAAACAGTGTGGCGGTTTTTTTGGCTTGTGGAAAAAGATTTAAAACAGCAACAGTTCACTTTTTTTTAAAATTATGTTCTTTTTGGAGCTGTTTCTGCAGCATTTATAGGTCACCTGGCATGTAACTAAGAAAAGGGTATTTTTTAACTGATTCAAGTCTTAAGTTAGTAAAACAGTTATTTTAGGCTCATACTTTGAAAGTGGTTTGTTCCCTGTTGCTTACCAATAATTAATTGTTAAAATATCTGTATTCAGATTTTGGTTTTTTTTAAATAGAAGTAACCGCATAAGGCTTAGTTCTGTACAGGAGCGGCTGACTTGTTGAACTGGGACAGGCCTGATTGAATTTAATTTTTTTGTTTAGTGCAATTTGTTCATTAAGGTTGCATTTGAGTTGCATTTTCCTCATCTGAAACTGAATACAGTAATTTCTAAAATAACTGTTGTATAAAAATCCCTTGCTATGGTTAGAAAAAAAACTGACCAAGTGTGGATTAGATTAGGGAGTGGCATGGGCTGCTTTTGTGATGCACAAGGGGAAGAACTGGAGATGTCTTGGCTAATATAGTAAAATGGGAAGAAAACCCCTAAACCAACCACCACCAACTGAGAAACTATGGATTTTCAGAGAGCACTTAGAATGTCCTCATTATGAAAATGAAATTTACATGCATCAACAAATAGTAGTTGCTGATGTTCAATGAGTGCTGTGGGTGTGAAGAGAAGGCTAGACATGAAATGGATGGTTACTTTTGTGAGTTAGTAATGTTTTTGACCAGATTGTCTGTTTTAGTCATTCTTAGATTAAAACTTTTTTCCTCTGAGTACGCTGTACAATGCCAGGTCAGGAATGGGATGCTTACAATTATGTGAATTGTGTAGACTTTGTAAGAAGAGCAAGTACATTTGAATTGTCTTTAATTACCGTTTGTAACCATAAAGTGTTCTCCGTTTTTGAGAATGCACACTGATGCAGGTATTCTATTAATTATTAGATGCTGGTGTATTTCTGTGGCTGACAGGATAGACCTGTGTTAACGTTAATTACCAGACCGTCCTGACAGCTCAGGCTGATTGAAGTACAGCCGGAGTCTGCCATGGAAACTGATGGTTTATATTTGACTGCTTATATGGAATGTTGGGGGGTGGGAGAGGGGGGAAATGCCTTGCCAGGAAAGCTGTTAACTAATGAAATGCCCTTATTCAGTGACCCTTGTCTTTATTGAAACATAACTCACAACTTCTCATTCCGGCCGTGTGAATTTTCCTGTATTGATTTTAGTCAGAATGCAGACTCTGAAAATCATCTGTTGATTTTAACATTTCATTGAAATTTAATAACCCAGTGCTAAGAAAACCAGTAGGAACGTAAAACTGCTGGTGTTTTTAATCCCACTATGCAGTTAGTTAGGTCAATAGAAGTACCACACAAGCTACATCTGTGTCTCGCTAGCAGGAGGATCTGTGAGGGACATTGAAATTACTGTTTGAATCCTGAAATAGATAATAGGTGTAATGTTTATAGTCTGAATTATATACCTTTGCTTTGGGGTTACTAAAAGTTAGGCAACATTACATTTTTACTTTTAACTTCATAAAATATCCTGTATAACCCTGTACAATGCAGTTAAAGTAATGTCCAGGTTTGTGTTTCTTTTGGTTGCTTTTCTTGGAAAAGTGTAATAGAATTGGAGTCAGCTTTTTAATAGGACAGCTTAATTTTTTTTTTTGAGACAATTTGTGCATGAATGAACAAAACCGCTGTGACAACACTAAAGAGAATATCTGGCTTTGTTAGCCCAACTGCCCCTCCACTTTGTTGTTCTTGCTTCCATTAGAAAGTGTCTTGCAGACAAGCTACATGTCTGAGAAGAGCAAGACACTGCAAGCTGGAGTGGAGTTGTGTTACTTAAACCTCTCTTGTCTGAATTCGGCACTGGAAGTTGCAGCTTTTTTGATCTCTGCAGTTATTTTAGCAGTGCTAGTGGTTGGAATGAGTGTGGTAATGCTAAAAGGGTTTTTTATTTATTTTATTATCATGGTTTGAAATAGTGAGTATAAATTGAAAATACATTTTCACTTACTTTTCATTTGAGAATTGATTTTTTTTGTACTTGGTGTCAAATAGTAAATTTTGCTTTTCAGTTCAGTGCAAAAAATCATTCTCTTGAAGGGAAATGGCAGTAGGTAGTTATTGATGTTTTAATGTTTTTGGTAGTTGAGTAGCACCCTTGCTTTTAAAAATATTTTTAACTGTTTTGTAACTGTACTTGAATACTTGTACTGAACTCCTTTCTGTATCGGAAGGATTTTCTGTGTTTCTATCACAGGCCGAACCAGAGCAAGGTTTTGATATTTTTTATTATATTTGCAGTGCTCCAGAAAGTGCCCATGC